TATATTTTTATGCATCCCGCTTAGGATAAAAAAAAACAAAGATGGAAAGTGAAGTTAGAGCAATAATTGAAAAAAAAGATTTTGAAACACAACAAATAATTGAAACTGAATTTGACTTTCTTTGAAAAAAACAAATAACTAAAGAAGAATATAGTGAAGAGATTTATATTTAGATATATGGAATTTTAAAATTTAAATTTGAAATACATAAGTGTAATGTAGTTGTAATTTAGACTTTATTATTATTTTTGTTTAAAATTTATAATCTTTTTAATATAAGATAGAGATGTTTCATCTATATAATAATAAAGTTGTCTATTTTCATAAGAACATATTTTATTATCTATAGTTTTTGAAGAATTGCCACCACCTATCATAGTACTATCATAAAATAATTAAATATAGTTATAGTTCTTTTTTCTATACCTGAATACAAAAACTATTATAGATATAAATTCTTTATTTTAAAAAATTTTATGAATTTTGAAATATGATATGCAAGTACATGTATATAAAAAATATTATTATTATATTGATAGAGTCCTTTTTGTAGAATTTTTACTCCTTTGTTTTGATTGTTAATTGACAAAATTTTTTAATCTATTGACATGCTAAAAATTCAAAATTAATAATATCTTTATTTATTAAATCAATTTTATATATTGTTTTATATAAAAAAAAAATTATATTAAAGTTTTTGTATTTCATTTTTATATTGACCTAAAATAAATTTAGTTATAGAAAATTTTCTAAAATTATTAATTTATCTGAACCCATTAATGATATTTAATACTATTTTCTTTTTAGTATTTCAGGTTCACTAAATTTAAAAATATTAATATTTAGAGAATTAATGGTTGATTCTATTTATTATCAAATTGGTATCTTTATTTTTTTTGTTTTTTTATTAAATGTCAAATTAATTGATAATTAAAAAAAAAATATTCAAATAAAACATCAATAATGCAAAACATTATATATGATTCATCTGGTATAGAATGTTATTATTCTAAAAAAGATAAAAGATTTGAATTTTTTCATTTCTAAGTATTATATAAATTTTTATAATTTTTGTTCATATTCCAATAGTCTACTTTTGTAATCACAATATAAATAAAAATAATTTGTTGTTAGTCCTTTAGTATTAAGAATTTAAGACATAAATTTTCAATTATAACTAAACTAAAATTTGATTTTCCAATAATTATTTTCTGAATTAATAATTCCTTAAATATTTATAGTTATTAATTTATTGATTAAAAAACTAAAAGCTATTTGAAGAGATTCATGTTGTTCTATACTATTATAAAGAAAAATATAGAATTGATTGAATAAGTTTAAAACCATATCATACTCATTTAATATACAAGAGTTAGTATTATATAATTGTAGTATTTGTCAACTTGTCACCTATCTCTATTTAATTTAATATAGATAATGTCTTCTAATTATAAAACTAATGATTTTTTATATGCTAATTTAGGAATTAAATAAACAAAATATCTTTAAATGATCTATAACCTCTATTTGAAGTTACAAAATTAACTTAAACTATATGAATTAGAATTTTATTATTTATGATTTTTGTTATTTTTTATCGATGTGTTTCAACTTTATATTCACACACAATATAAGATATAGTAGCTATAAGTAGATGATATGTGTCACAAGAAATCAAAAACTTATCACAAATACAAACAATTAAATCTAATAATTAATTTGATTAAAATTTTTCAGATTCAGAATTTTGAAAAATAATAGATAAATCATTTACATTTAATTCTATAGATTTCAATACAGAATTGTAGAAGTTATGTAATTAAACTGCAAACTTGATCCTATTATAAATATCACAAGCCAAGATTTTGAGATATTTATTTTTTTATGACTCAGATTGAAGTTTGTGAAATAGTTTTTTTGTAATTGAGTTTTAAAAAAAGTTTGATCTGAATTTCAATATTCTTTTAAATATTTTAGATTAAATCTAAAAAGTATAATCTCAAAAAATTGTGAATTATTATTTTCTTTTAATTTCTATTTTATAAAATATATTATTTATATAAGTATATAATATACATACTAAAATAATTTATTAATTAATTTATTTATAGTATTTTATTAATTAATTATAACCTGCAAAAATAAAACTGAAACATTATTAGTTAATTTATTGTTTGAAATGAATTGTTTTTTTCCATTATAATTATTACAAGTAATTGAATATATAACCTTTTCATTCGAATTATACTGAGTTTCAGCAATTAGATATATATCATAAATCTTTATGTTAACCATATACCTATTAAGAATTTACTTGTTGTGGATAAAAACCAAGGTGTAAAATTTTGTAAAGAAATTGTTGTTTTTTATTTTCAGTATAGTGTGTTACATATATGTTTGAATAATTATTAGTAATTTTCAAAATATTGGTTTGTATATTATTCTGCTGGCAAACCTCTTGAAGAGAATAGTAAATAAAACTTGAACCTTGTATTTCTTTTAAAGGTAATTCGGATTTTTTTTTTTTGTTTATTTGAGAAAAGTTTTTTTTTTTTTAAAAAAAAAAAATATATAAGAATTGTTTATTCAAAGCACTCAGTTTAAATGAAACTAAACAAAATAAAAATTTTATATAAATATAAGAGTTAAAATATTATATATAAATAAAAATATATATAACTATAAACAATTACTATTGAGCATGTACGAATATTGGTTTAACACCTATCCATGACCACAGCAGCAAACAACTTATTACCAACTCATTGTCAACCTGTTTTTCAAGTTTTTTGATAGAATAGAAGAAATAATTTTTTTCTAGAAAGAATGATTGTTTGGTATTTCAAAATCTTTCTTATCACATTATAGATCTGATTGGCACATCTTGTTGTACAAATCTGGATGATCATTCTCAAATATCACTCAAATGAGTCTGATTAGCCCATATGAATATGTTAATTTGATCTAGTTTCGCCCAGTTTCAGACATTTTGCCCAGTTTCAGACGTTTCGCCCAGTTTCGGAGGTTTCACCCAGTTTCAGATTTTGGGCGAAACCGAAACTCAAAAGCCGAAATGTTTCGGACTTCGGTAAAGGGTTTAGGCCGTAACACTAAGGAACATATTTCACTTAGGGTTGAAAATTACATTTTACAAATTTACAATACATGTAATTTCACGAGATATATAGTACTTAGAGATGGGCAAATCACGGTTTCTCCAAAAATCCCGCGCGGGATTCATTAAACCACAAAATTTTAAACTCTGATTTCACTAAATGGGCGGTCAGATTTCTTTACTAAAAATTCGAGTAATTTTGCCTAAATTTTTTGTTGTTGCCGTTGGTCAATCAAAATAATGAATTTCCACGTATTTTTTGCAAAGTTTAATAGTAGTAATTACATTAAGCACGTTCTTGGTTAAAGGTTTCATCTGATCCAATTTTTGTACGATGATTCCAAATCTTATTATTACTACGCATGTAATTTATTTTTAAAAGAGCGACTTAATCATAAAGAATACTTTTGTAATGTAAGTGAAAGATACCAACGGTAAAGAAGGTAAATTCTTATCGTATATATAAATAAACATATATGTGAAATGGTATGCAAATAAATAAATAAATTTTAATTAGGAATTAGCTAAATATGTTAATCCAGGTCAGATATTATATTAATGCTAGCCAGATATTATGGTAATGCCGGCCGAATAATCTTATTTTGGAATCATATTAAAATCCCGTGCGGGATCCAAAAAAATCCCGCGCGTGCTCATCTCTAGTCACGTGATATCCAAAACTTTTTTGGGTGGCTGTTTTACCCGGGCTGTATTTCTAAATACGTAGAATTATATATATATGCGTATACATGGTTAAAATTTTTTAAATATGGATGTTAATAAACCGATTTGGCATCATTTTGAAATGCTAAATGTATTCAAAACATATTATCCTAACAAGAAATTATATTTCTAGTGATTATCTTTATATATATTCTTATAATTCATGAAAAATTAAAAAAATTTACTATATTCCGCAAATCCCACGTGGGTTTTTTAAAAAACTGCGATTTGCTCATCACTACTTATTGTATAAGTTTGAATTTCGTTTTTAATAGTTACCCTAACCGTTAATATTTTTAACGATCGTATTACATTTATATTATCTAATTAGTTACGTAATCTCACGTGTGCAAGTTATTGCTATAACTGATTGTAATTATTCTAGTTCAAACATATAAGTTAACTATTGGAGTTAAATTGTGCCGATAGTTCTACAAGCTCTCCCAAAAAAATGGTAACACTACTGGGTAATTGCTTAAGATGATCCCTAAAGGGGAAAATTCGATAAATATCACGTGTTCAAAATTACAATTAAATGAAAAACCGGTTAACCGAAGCTTTCACAAAAATATCCAAAATTTTTAGTAATTTTACGTACCTAAAGATAAGAATTAATTAAATTTAAAATTAAATTTATTACTTGTATTCTACTGTAAATATAACGAAGTATCAAGCGCGCATTATACAGGCTGATTAAAATCATGTCAGCTGGACCGAGTTATAAAAATTACACTGCGCAGTCTCAAAAATTCTGCGTAGGCTGCGCAGGCTGCGCATCGAAATTCCCTGCAGATTACTTATAAATTAGCAAAATAATTTGTGTGATACATTCCTATTACAGAAAATATTGGTACGGTACACCAATTTACAAAGGGAAAAAATTTATCCATTCCCAATATCAATCTATCAGCAATTTGACAATTTGACAATCAGATCTTGGTTATTCAAATTTTTTGAGCCAATTATCTAATTAATTACCTAACGCCATTGGCTAATTCGATTGCTAATTGACAGTCGCCAACATTGTTCTTTCCGAAAGAAAAATTATAAAAGACCGAGATTTCGAACGATGTAACTTTAAAGAATTTTCGACTGTAAATTGTCTTTTAGATTCTTTTTTTTCATTAAATCTTTGAATGTAATATCATTCAATTACGAAAAAATGCTACAAAACCAATCCAAATTACGTGATGAAATAGACGTTGAACGTCAGGCGACGTCAGATGCTACTGCAACTATAAAAAATGTCGACAATCAGATTGTTAAAGACAATAACTCATCACCGTCTAATGATACCTTATTACATGGTGTTGAACTATTTCTAGTTGTTGTTGGGTTCGTGGCAATTAATTTCCAGTTGTTCTCATTATATGATTAAGTTATTAATATAGCTTTACTTCGTACATATTATAGCCTATCATGTGCTGTATTTTTAGCCGCCTTAGATCAAACAATTGTTTCTACTGCTTTACCTAAAATAGTTTCAGATTTTAATGGATTGGATCAAATGGCATGGGTTGCAACTTCTTATCTACTCACAACGGTAATAATATTATGCATCAATTCCATTTCGTTTGAGTTATATATCATATGATATTCACGTGAATCATTCTATCGACTCAGACTTCATTTCAACCAATTTACGGAAAATTATCTGATATTTTTGGTCGCAAAGCAACATTCTTGGGTGCAATTATCATCTTTGAATTAGGCAGTTTGTTATGTGGAGTTGCCACCAATATGGTAATATTGCTTGTCTTTGTTTTTTTTATCTGTCATTTTCGAAATTCTTAATTTGAATATTTACCATTTTTTTATTTTTAGGTTTCGATGATAATATACCGTGCAATCGCTGGTATCGGAGGTGGTGGAATTATAGGGTACGTGCTTCATTACTGTATCGATTTTATTTAAATTTTATGCGTACTAAATTTTGGTTTAATTTTTAACTTTTGCTTTTTAGTCTCGTCTTAATTATTATTACGGATATTGTTAGTTCTAAAGATCAGGGAAAATACCAGGGTTTCGTTAGTGGATGCTTTGGTTTCGCTTCCGTAATAGCCCCTCTCTTGGGAGGTGCTTTTACTGATCATGTTAGTTGGAGGTATGCATATCAAGGGTGGTTACATAAATAATGCAAAAAAACTAACTATATTATTATCATTTTATATAAACGCATCATCAAATTTATTTTCCCTAAAAAAAAAGATGGTGTTTCTTCATAAATCTTCCTTTAGGTGCAATAACAATAATCGCAGTAATTTGGTTTCTTCGGCTACCAAAACCAACCGGTTCATTACTTGATAAAATTAAGAGAGTTGATATTATTGGCACCACTGTAGTGATCTTATCAACTGTTTGTATCTTATTACCTCTCAATTGGGGTGGCAGTACTTATGCTTGGAATAGTCCCGTAATTATAGCACTTTTATGTGTTGGCGTATTTGGTTACATAATATTTGGTTTTGCTGAATGTTACATCGTTACTGAACCCGTTGCTCCACGTAAATATTCATGTCTAGAGTTAATTGCAAAAATTATTATAATATAATTAACCTATTATATTATCAGTATTAACCCAATTTTTCTTGTTTAATAGCACATTTATTTCAAAATCCTAATGTAGTCTCATGTTTCATCATAAGCATTTTTCAAGGAATGATATTCTTCAGTTTGATTTTTTATATTCCACTTTACTTCCAAGTTGTAAAAAATGATTCAAGCAAGTATATATATCAATTAAATCTCATTTCCTTGCTAAATATCAACTAAATTTATATTCCTTTTTAAACAGCTACACAATCTGGATTAGATTTTATGCCTTACATTCTTGGTGTAGTAGTTTCTTTAATTGCATCCGGTCAATTATTCTCTCGAACAGATAAAGTAGAGTATCGATTAGTGGCTCTAATTGCTTCTGTATTGACAATAATCGGTGCCGGATTAACCACTATGTGGAATGAAAACACCGGAAATGGTGAATTTATAGGATACATGCTAATCGGTGGTGTTGGAATTGGTACAAGTATTCAATCTATTACATTATGCGTTCAAACATTGGTTAAGCCGGAGGATATAGCTTCTGTTACTACTTTGTCATTATTCTTTAGAAGCAGTAAGTATTTAAAAAAAATAGTTTTTTTAACAAATTTAATAAAATATTTTACTAATTCATTATTTATGTTTTTCTTTTTAGTTGGAGCTGTCCTTGGAATTGCAATATCAGGAACAGCATTTAATAATAAACTTTCTCAAGTATTAAGTACTTTAACTTTACCTCCATCCTTTTCAACACAATCTGTATATACTATACAATCATTGTCACCAGATACACGGTCATTGGTCATTCACGCTTATGTGTTAGCATTTCAGTTCACCTTTATGCTTATCGTAATATATAGTGCGATAATGATTATTTCATCATTATTTATGGGAAATAGTAAACCAATACATCGAAGAGATGAAGAAAAAGTCGTTGGAACTTATGCACTTGAATAATTTATTATTTAACAAAATAGTATTTGATGTGTAAAAAAAAAAAAAGAAATTTATTAATTTATGCACGAGTACTAATTTATTAAATTAAAATTTGCGTAAGATATAAGTTATAAGACCAAAAATAACTCAATTAAGGTAGCTCTAGAATTAGATTTGGTATATATAATAAATTTTTGCAAAGAATAATTTTTGTTAGCCTTGAAGTTGTTATGATTAGGATTTTAAAATAGTATCAACATACATCACGAAGTTTTTTTTATGCAGAATTGTGTAAAATTTTTGTTTATCTTTACAAAACTTTATAAACTCAATGTAGATTTGCATATCTATTTATATAAGTCTATATATATTTCTATGTAGAATTATATAGAACTATGTAAATTAGCAAAAAATTGGTAACTTAAATATTAAAGTTAGGATTAGATTTTAAAAGTTAAATTAGGAGTTTGGAAAGGTTTTCGAGCATGCTGATGTAAATTAAAATTTAAATAGATTTATATTTATATAAATAAGTAGCTGCGCAACGTTGTCGCGCGAAACCAGGAACGGGAGAAATCTACGCAGACACCATTTCAGTCACCGGAA